GCACTGTCCAGATTTTGATTTGTTCATCTACAGATCCACAGTAAAGTGATGAAACAGATCAAGTACCTGAAATGGTTTAGTGGGAAGGGGGGGGGGGAATGCTGCCTCTTTAAAAGCCTGGATTAACGGGAGCTGACACTCTTTGCTGGAAGACAACGATTTTTATCCTTTTCTTCAAAAGGCTATCAGACTCTCTTGATATTCATTTGGGGTCTGGGGAAGGTCCCTGAAAAATGTTGTATGCACCAAAGCCATGAAAGAGTCCCCTTCTGAAATCACACCCTTTTATCCTGCAAAGCTTATTTGTGTTGTTTTAACCTCCAGGTCAGAGGTTTTTAACCTGGGGACTTGGGTTCACTGGTGATTCACAACCATGCAACAAATAATCTCTTGGCATCGACAGAAAATAAATAAATAAAAGAAAATGTTCCAATAGACAAAATGTCCCAGATCACCAAATTTTGAAAGAGTTTCACATTCTCAGCCAAAATTTCACAAGACTTCAGGCAGAAACATTGTCTGGTGGCAACTTTTCTTTTAAAACAAGTCCCATTGATTTTTGTTTAATTTTGAATACTACTGAGGGATGTGATGCCCTCAAACACAATATCATCAGTCTCTAGCTTATGAGTAATCCTCTAAAGCTATTAACAATAACACGGTGATACGTACCAAGGAAACATTTTAGAATCACTGCTCTAGGATAGAGATATGCAAGGTTCCCCCCACCCCACTTCTTTGAGTGATATGTTGGAGGCCCAACCTACAGACTAACCTTAGCTAGGATGGGACAAAGAAATGGATGGAGCCAAAGTAAACATTTGATTTAGTAATTAATTTTTAATTTAAAAATAAATGCTATGGATGTGAGTACTCTCCAAACATTTCATTATCTGTGCCTCCTCTGTCAAATCAGAAATAAAGAGTCTTGCCAGACAGTTCATAAATCACAAAAATCCCATATATAATGCTTAAATATTGTATTCTTATCATATTGTTCCCAAACAGCATATGACAATACTAGTTATCTTCAATTATGTGTTTTTTTAAGGTCCAATGCCAATCACGAGTGGAACTACCACAATCCTTTACCACTTTTCTTGCTGCCTGAGTCCTGTAGGATTTGTAATAGCAATAGTACTTAGACTTCATACCGCTTCACAGTGCTTTATTGCTTTACAGCCCTCTCTCAGCAGTTTACAGAGTCAGCATATTGACCCCCAACAATCTGGGTCCTCTTTTTACCAACGTCGGAAGGATGGAAGGACAGTTATAATTTAAAATATATGGAAGGCATCAGGTTAGGAAAAAATCCTTCATAATTATGTGATTGAAAATCAAGTCAATTTGAAGTATACTCTAAATATTAAGTACAATTGTTAGCTTAAAATCTTGTCTTGTTATTTTTACACAACAATTCAAGAACATTCAGGTGGCCTCAAGTCTACATTTTGTAAAGTGCTAAATTATTGTTTTTAAATTGCTCCTATCATTGGTTATTTTAGATTTATTTTCTGGACCTAGAGTTGTGAGTGGAGTGGGCAGCCATACATAGCATACCAAGGATTATATTTGCACCAAGGATTCAGAGTAAAGGTAACAAGGAAAAGAAGGGGATCAAAATTATTAAGGTGAATTTCAGCAGAAATTTGGATCTACAGTTAAATACAGAATGGTTGGTGTTGGGCCTGAGCACAGAGCATTGAAAAGAAAGATTTGTTAAAAGACCAGAACCTAAAAACAAAGCATCATTGCAGTCTAGTTAGTTAAATGGCTAATGTGATTCCAGTTTGCACCTACTCAGTAATTATCTACATACAATTCTAAACCCAACTGCCTGTGAAAAAGACAAGTATGACGTCCATTTCCATATTGTTGCCATGAAATCATCAGTAGGAATCTGACTTAAAGAACATTTTTTGAAGAGAATAATATTTTTCTTTTAGCTCATGTTGCTCAGCTAAACAACAATCCCATATATATTTACATGTAAGTAAGCCCTTTTGAGGCCCAAGTAAACATCCAAAAGGCTTCACTGCAAGGTTATAATTGAGAAAACATTTTGGCAAAAGCAAGATTGGGTTTTAGTGACACAAAACAGATCTTGAAAACATTCACTCGGCTTCACTCACTTCAGGATGATTTCTCAAAATGGTCATGGTCGCTTAAACCCGTGTGATCGCTGTCCAACTCCCTTAGGCTAGATTAAGTTTGAGAGGCCCTGGATGTAGACTTCTACTGTTTTATGTATTTGATCTCTTGTACTGAGACTTTCAGAGGTTAATTTTATAGCAGTCAGGCATAATCCCCCATTTGTAAAAGACATGGATGGTTAACTGCTGTTGCAAATTGAACAATGCTCAAGACATAATGTGCCGATCAGGTAAATAACTGCTTCCCCTTACAACTATGCACAACTCTTTCATTGAATTATTACGGAGGCTGCAAATGTTAAATGCCTGACATAAAATCCATCGCTTTCATAGGAATTACAGAAGGTGGGCATGGATTAGCCTTCCTGCAAGAGTTGCCAACTGACCAAGTCTTAAAAAAGAAAAAAAAGGAAAACAACCCATTCCTTTAAAAGTAGCTTCATTCTCCCAAATCAGCAATTCAAGTTTTTTGAAGGCTACAGCAGAGCATAACGAAAGCATCTCCATTTGCCGATGATTGAGTGTCTATGTACTGCTAAAAGAAGACCCAACCATACGCGCAGAGAATCAGAAAAAGTAAGAAGTAGCATTTATACTGAAAAACAAATGTCTAGCTTTCAGTTTCAACATAAGATGTTTGAATTTGATCACATGAAGATTTTGTCTAACTTTTAAGCTTANCTTTATCGGGCTTGGAGAGGGGCCAGGCCGATACCTTTCAGACACTGCAATATTTGGCAAGAATGCAGGAATGAACTAATTGTCTCCTGCAAACACTCTTCCCCTTTCGCTCCTCTTTTATTCCCTATGGGAGGGGCCATTCACCATCCACCTGTGGCCTTACTCCCAAGTCGACCCTTGTTCCTTAGCTGTTCCCTTCATCTGGCAACTCTGCGCACGCGCACACTGGGGACAGACTCCAGCTGTTTGTCTGCCTCACTGATGTCTGACTCCGAAGGAAGCTGATAACTGGCATATGGCCCTGGCCCCATCTCTGCCTCTGACACAGAGCCTTCCCCAGACTCCAGGACTGGCCCATGTTCTTCCCCAATCTCCTCACTGTCTGAATCTGTTGCCAGCTCTGCTGGACGCTGGCAAGCCACAACACGACTTAGAGCCACAACAGAGTGCAAAATTTCTGTTGCTTAGTGAGACAGTTTATGTGAATTTTGCCCCATTTTATGACCTTTCTGGCCACAGTTGTTAAGTGAATCACTGCAGTTGTTCAGTTAGTAACTCAATTGTTAAGCAAATCGGGCTTCCCGTTGACTTTGCTTGTCAGAAGGTTGCAAAAGGGGATTGCACCACCTCAGGACACTGCAACAACCGTCATAAATATGAACCAGTTGCCAAGCATGTGAATTTTGATCATGCGACCATGAAGATGCTGCAAAAGTCATAAGTGTGAAAAGTGTTCCTAAGTCACATTTTTCAGTGCCATTGTAATTTCGAACAGTCACTAAGTGAACTGTTGTAAGTCAAGGACTACCTGCACAATGTTAGTGGTTCATCTATGCAGCACATCAGAGATGATATACTAAAGGTATCAATCTTTAGGCCATGCACGAAAGACATGACTCCTTGAAAGGAATGTGTAGGATTTTACCTCAGCAATACCCCCCCCCACACACACACACGCACACACATAAGAGGATTTCTTCACTTTTATAGCAGTGATGGTGCCAAACCCTTTCAGCACCAAGTGTCCAAACCAGAATGTGTGTGCATGTGCATGCATATGTGTGCGCCAGAGCACCAGAAACCTGAAGACCAGCTGGCCAGCGCACACATGCCTGGTTTGGGGGCATTTTCTAGGCTGTTTTCAGGCCACTTTTGGCCTGGGAAATGGCATGAAAACAGCCCAGAAAATGGCCCAGAAAGTAGCCCAAAATGTTCTGTTTGGTTGCCCCATTTTCAGGCCATTTTTGGGCTGTTTTATGAGGGTCAAAAATGGCCTGAAAACAGCCCAAAAAACAGCTTGAAAATAGCCCCAAAACAGCCTGAAAATGGCCCAAAAAACAGCCAAAACCGCCCCCAAAACAGGATTTCAGGGCCTTTTTTGGCCCATTTTCAGCCTGTTTTCCAGCTCTCCAGTGCCCGCTAAGACCAGCTGGCAACAGCCTGCGTGCCCACAGAGAGGTCTCCGCATGCCACCTTTCCTAGATTGAGGCTAACAGTGAAGCTGAGCGTAGCATTCAGAAAACAGGCTGGTCAGGAAAATAGAATTCTAAGTGAAGAAATGAACGGCAAAAGATTCAAAGAGGTGATGTATACATAAATATCTAACACTCCATGTTAACAGGAGAAAAAAACATACCTCTTAGCTAAAAAAATGTTTGCATCATCCGAGAAACAAACTAATTTTTTGGTCAAGTAGATGCCCTTGAAAAGACAGGAGAGATATCTTCTAAAAAGTGGGCAGCTCTACTCTAAAACAATTCTCAAATTTAGCTTACAATTCATTCGTACACTGTACATTCATTCCAGTTGGACTATTTTCCATCTCAATGTTTTTCTCCCTTGAACCATAACATAAGAAAGTCTAAATCTGATGACAAGCTGCACCATTGCCAACATTCAGAACAAACAAGGATCAGAGTTCAGAAAACTATACCAAACTCTCAAATTTAACTCTTAATTGGAATGAGGAGATGTGAAATGTGAACATAATGTCTATCTGAGAGCTGCCATAAGAGTAAGGCAAAATTTAGTTTGCTATGAGGCAACTTTCTCCCTATGGCCTCATCCAAAAAGGAGGCTCAGATGTTTGCCCACAAATCTGCCTCTATCAAATTCACAATCTTAAATAAATAAAGCAGGAAGAGTATATGCTTTGAGTGTATTTACCCAAGTCGATGATGTATTGCTATATGCTTCACGGAAGGCCATTTCAATCTGATATCTTTGCATATCTTCTTCGCTTCAGCTTCTGCCATTGTTGTGTAAGCTTCATATTCCAACTGTACGACTTTTTTCCCTTCAAAGTTATTCCTTGTAGTGCCTGAAACAAAAGGACAACCCTTAAAAGACATTCTGGGCTGGTGAGAAGTTTAGCTTGACAGAAGGCTAAATTTAAGAGCTTCAACAAAAAGAAATTAACAATTTATCTTTATGCTAAGCATGGTTTTGCCCGTGGTCTGAATAAGCCCCAATAAGCTGCTTTCTGCATACCACTTTGCTATGGGCTACAGACCTGTAATGAATTCACACATCTCTCAACCACATTAAGGTTTGGACACAAATTCTCTTAACAGACAGACATTCTCCAATAATGCCAATTATTAATAGGGACCAAGCTCAACAATAGCATGCTTACTCTGTGTATACAAAAAGGTTTCAATTTAACTTCTAGCATTTTATTAATTAATAAATGAATTATATATAATGAATAAATATGTATTTATTAAAAAGACTAGGTGGGCACTACTAGGCTAAATTTGTTCCACTTCAATGTTTTCATGTGTTGTGTGAATTCTCAATGATCAGAAAACTGAGATTAGCACAAGCGCTTCTGAAACCAGTCATCCATATTTTTATTTTAGGGATGCAGCACACTGCTTTAAATGTAGCAATTCCCCCCCCCCCACTTAAATAAAAACCAACTCAGACCATTTAAGTTAGTTCAGGCATGCAAACTTGTTCTAACACAACTGTGCAGGCTGAAATCTCCATTCTTTTCAAGATGAGATAGATAAGATAAGCTAGGTGTCATCTGAGATCTCTCAAACCAACCATTATCATCTTCTTTTAACGACCCATAATCCCTTGCAGGGTGGAGTCTGGGCAACTGAATGGAGTTAGCAGAATGTTTTAATGGCCACATGCCTTTCCTGTCACCAATGCAGAGTTTTGTTCAGCAGATATATTCTCAATATGCCCAGAGAGAAATACCTGTCTCCACCTAGGATTGAACTCACAGCCTCCTGATTGTGAGGCGAGAGCTCCACCTCTAGGCCGCTGCACCATTTTTTCTCTCCAACCAACCATAAGCATGTGTAATCAAGGTGAAGCCCTCAAAAGTACATAACCCATGAGCAACATCAAGACTTGTTTTGTGTATATGGATGCCCCAAAGCCTCCAGGGTTTCCTGGTAGCGACAGTCCTCATAGCTGACAGAACTATAAGTTCCATTGTATTTCTCTTTATTTCTCTGATTTCAATTCTCAAGGCTAAGAACTTTTTTTCCCTTAAGTTTTGATGTTTTTCCTTGTTCTAAGGTTGGTCTAAGACAGCCTTGTTCCATTGGCTCCTACAACTGCTTATCTAATCTTCAGTTTCCAAGTTTCCATATTAAAAACTTGGGGGGGGGGGTTAATTTAAAAATATGTGGGTTTACCTTGGATTAAGAGCTTCATGTGTCCGACCTACCTACAAAGAAAGATACAGCTCCACAGCAGGGAGAAATGACCAGGGCTGCTACTTCATCTAATGAGAGCTTCTCATACATCAATTGAATCACATCCTTGGGTTCATCCTCAATTCCATTCATGATTTCTCTAGAAGTAAAGAGCGATACAATGATTAATTTGCAGGTTTATCCTTCCCTAGCTATGGATCTTAAATTACATCTCAGGTTACAATCAATATTACTGCCTTATTTATTCATTCATTCATTTTTAACTTACTTTTATTATTTTTATGAATAACTCAACTAATACTAATTTCATTCTAAGGCAGGACTAGAACTCTCCTGGTTTCTAGCTTGATGCCTTAGCCACTATTCTAATTAGCTTAATTAATTTAAATTAATTAATTCATAGTCTTCAAAGAAATATTATAGCCTCTTAACAAATGGATTACCGTATTTTTCGGAGTATAAGACACATGGGGCAGCCCTTGAAGAGCATTCAGAGACGTCAACTCATCCAGAATGCAGCCGCGCGAGCGATTGTGGGTGTACCTCGGTACACCCACGTTACACCTATCCTCTGCGAGCTGCACTGGCTTCCAATCGGTCTCCAGATAAGCCTCAAGCTGCTAGTTATTACTTATAAAGCCCTTCATGGTATTGGACCTGGGTACTTGAGAGACCGCCTGCTGCCAATTACCTCCCAAAGACCCATTAGATCGCACAGGNTGTGAGTACAGATATTGTGACTTGTTTAACAAATTATGATTTATAAAGGACATAGTGTAGTGTTTTTAGCCGTGTAATCAGTTTACTACACTGAAAGGATCCACATTTATAAGATCTCTCTTTTTCAGGGAAAGACAGTTAAGCTTAAAAGTTAGACAAAATCTTCATGTCAATCAACCTAGCTGATGTTCAGGATATTACGTTCTTCAGCATTCTTCCTCTGACTAGCTGTTCTAAAAAGGAGGTGGATGAGGGAGTATGGAATGGGGGAAAAGCATAACATTTCAAAGTTAGGCAAGCAATTGTCTCTAGGAGGAATGTTGCTAATTGGACTGAAGCTTAGTAGATGAAGTGCTTGGAAGGGCCAACAGTTCAGTAAGGGGAAGAGTACTTTTCAAACAATATTTTTAAGTGGTGGAGTTTGTGATGGGTTGGGGAAAAACAAAGTTCTACACTTGAAAAGTTTTTTTTTGGGGGGGGGTTGCCCATAAAGGGACAAGCAAATCTGGCCTTGATATAAACAATTTTGTATGATAAATTCAATATCACTTTTATTTAATAGGATGATCTGCATTCTTCCTGTAAAATGTGTGCAGATATATTCAGCAAGTACTCAAAGATCATGTACTGATTGGAACTAGGGAGGCATAACCCCAAACTGTTGCCTTTTAAATGTTAAGACAATGTTACATTCATATTGTATGCAGATGCCTTCTAAACTACAACAGCATTTAAAGAAAAAACAATAAGCTGCTTTGAAATGTTTTCCATTGAAAAGGACACTTCTTTATTTATTTATGTATTCATTTTTCTCTCTCTCTCTCTTCCTACCTCCCTCTCTTCCCTCCCCCTGCCCCCTCCTCCTCCTCTTCTTCTTCTCTTCCTCCTCTTCTTCTTCTCCTCCTCCTCTCCCTCTCTCTGCTTCTCTCTCTCTCTCTCTCTCTCTCTCTCTCTCTCTCTCTCTCTCTCTCTCTCTCTTTCTCTCTCTCTCTCCAATTTATGGTCCTATTTTGTGTTAATGTTCTTTTTGCAAGCAGTAATGGATATATTGTTGGGAGCTGTAAATAAATAGTACATTTTTCATAGAGCACTAGATAATGCATTATGAAATGAAATACTGTATGTACTTGCAAACCTCAAAAGGTCACATTGGACAATGAAGATGTTGTGTATTAATGTAATTATACATATAATATTATTAACATTATTGTGATGAATATAATAACAAAGATGTGGATTATGACTGTTCAAATAACTATACCCAGATCACACACGGTTTGATGGAAATGGAAAGTAATATAAATAAAACAAATAAAACAAGAAAAAGGGTCACATTTGCATCATGAACTTTGGCAGGTTTACAGTATTTTACTCAAATTTTTGGAATTTTTAGAAGTATACAAATATGCATTATTTAGTTTTTTACATAGAGGATTTTTAATGGGTGATATTCTATAACACTTATTTATAATTAGCAGAAATCAAAGAGATAGGCTTGTTCCATCATTGGCTTTAAATGTTGTACCTGCTTAAATTTTATCTGGCACACTGAGGTTGAAAAACAGGACTTCTGCAGAGGATAAATAGACCTTACTACTTTTGTCATTTCACAGGTGTAATTGCTTCTCTTTTTATGGTTAACATTATTCTTCTTTTGAAAACTCAACTAAACTGTCTCTCAATTTCATCAGACATAACGCAAGACAGATCTGAATCAAGAGTGAGAATTCATCCATTCAGTACATTTCATCAACTCCAGAGTCTGATTTCATCCCATACTCTGCTGGGTGATAAAATACAGCAGGTTTTTATCTGTTTTAAAAAGTAAAGAAAGTTATTTTCCCAGAAATATCAGCAGCTGAAGCAATAGCAAGTTAAAAAAGAGAAGGATAAATAAAAATACAGACCAAGGTGCTGTGACCTCAGTGTTTTCATGTGAAAAAGAGACATCGCTAGTCATTTGACCTGTATTTTTAACATTGTTTTGGCATGCTTTGATATTACCATTGCTTAACAGATGGTGTAATAATTACTTTCTGAAGAACTGATCTAGTGTAATAACCACATCTGGAACTAATGTGTAATTCCCTAAACCAATAGATCATTCAGATTTAAATAGGCATTTGGTCTAGAAGATGCCCCAAAATACAAACAATCTAAATCTTTATGGCTACTTTGAATTTTATCTTGCATTCTACTAGCATTAAGATGGTGGCGATGTTGCAACACCTTGATGTTTCCTCTCCCTTGTCACAATGCATACAACGGAAGAGCAACAAAAGAGGAGATAACTGGGTTTGACTTGTTCTCCTTTTCTGGACTGCAAGTAAATAGCCAGGGCAAAAACGGATGAGCAACTGGATCAAAACAGTTGGCTAGTGGTGAGAATTACCAAGGACATTTCCCCCAAGAATAGAGTCTTATTCACTCTTTATGTTTGGTAGCAATGCGCTCAGTGGGGCGGGATTCAACCGGTGTAATGACCGGTTCACTGAGTGGTCACTTTGCTCACACACGCACCAAATGATCGCTCTGTGTGCGCACAGTGCATTGGGAAAGAGCTCAAAATCTTATCTTCTACTGCAGCCCTGGTGAGTAAAATAGCTGAGGCATGGCAATCTGCTCTGCTGTGCCGATCAGCTGGGCTTCAAACAAAGGAAATATAGGTTAGTATAGCGCAGGGGCGGGCAACCAAGCCAACATGATCATCAGAGCAAACCGATTTGCCCTCAGCTGATCATCAGAGCTACCAGTTCACCTGAACCAGTACAAACCGGCTGAATCCCAGCCTTGAGTGTCCTGCTATGTAACCAAGTGAGACTAAGGGATCGGATTGATGATTAAAAGAACACTTTCAATTTTAACATTCATTTTATAAATATAGTAACCTAGCATCACTGGGAATTTGTCGGAAACACGTATCAAACCCACCATAGCTATTTTATACAAAAAATGTGGCAAATCCTTCATACTACTTATTTCATTCCCTTTTAGTAATAAATTGACTAAGGGCCACTCAGTTTATGGATTGTGATTTTAGTAGAGTTAGATGATGTATAATTGACAGACTGGATTTTTTCATAGATTTCATCTGTTATTTATTATTTTACTATAGAACTTTTACTTGTATTTTTATTTGTTCTGGTCTATGACTGTAAAATTCTAATAACCTAGAGGATATTTGGCTGATAGGGTATTGTGAATTGCCCAAGATTATGCTGCTTAAGAGGAGCAGCTATATAAGTGAAGGAATGAATAAACAAATTATTTACTATCACATCCGATGAGTCAGTGTAAATGTTTTATGGCATTTAAAAAGTGGATTTTTTTAAGTGAGTGTAAAGCACCCAGAGTCATTCTGGAATCAGATGGCCAGTAAATCTAGATGGCAATGATGGTAAATGTGAAAGTAAAAGAAATTTGGCGAGAAAACCCATCGATATATTTTCAAAATGCTTCTTCATAATTTTTAAAAAATACAACACAGCCATATTTCTTTTTCTTTTTTGTGGGGTAACTTTAATTTATAATATGTTGTCAATATATAGGGGTTGTGCATTTTGTAATTCTTAACAAAAACGTTTTGTGGTCTATTTACTTTTTACAGTGAAAATTGTATTTTCTTTTCCTGGATGTATTAGCAGTCATGTCCACTTGAGGGCACCAGTTGACATCCTCTTACCAGATTTAATAGCATCAACTAGCTCCGGAACTAAGCACATCTCTCAACAACCATTTTCCTCTGTGTACCAAGGCGCTACCTTGTCACTCATCAGATATGACTTCCAAATGTTCTCTTGTAAATACAATAATGTACATGACAATTCAGCATGTCTGGTAAGACCTACAAGCCTCATTCTCAGTTGATACAAAGTTCACACAACTTTCCAATTTGGCGGTACAAAAAATAGTCATAAACCAAAGGCAGACGTGAGACTTGTATTGTTTTTCTCTAATAAGAAATAAATATACAGATAGCCTCAACGTACGACAATTGAGCCCAAAATGTATGTTGTTAAGCGAAACACAGCTGTTAAGTTAAATTTTCCCTATTTTATGACCTTTCTTGCCACAGTTGCTAAGTGAATCACTGCAATTGTTACATTAATAATATGGGTGCTAAGCAAATTTGGCTTCTGCATTGACTTTGCTTGTGAGAAGGTTATAAAAGAGGAACACAAGGCCCAGCAACATAGCAACAGTCGTAAATATGAGTCAGTCACCAAGCATCTGAATTTGATCACATGACTATAGGGATGTAGTTGTAAGTGTGAAGTCATAATTTCAGGGCTGTTGTAACTTCAAATGGTCCCTAAGTGAATTGTTGTAAGTCAAGGGCGACCTGTATTCCCTCCCTTTATTCAGAGGGCTATATTTTGCATCCAGGAATGTGCCAATTTTAATATATTCTCAGAATCC